GTGTCCAATAACATTTATTGAACCTCACAAATAACATTTTTAGAATTATTAATGTTACTAATATTTTATTTATATTGAGTTCAGAGTTGTGTTATAAATTATATTTAATCGATATTGAATATCGATATTTTTTCCGATAATTTTATTTTATTGCCCTATAATGGAGTTCGTCCTCAATGTGTTAATTATTATTTAATTTATTTGAATAAATAACTAAATAAGTATTTAGTATTTACGTTATTCAGTAATCACCTGGTACAGTGCCACAGTGGTGGACGGTGGTACGTACAGCACGATATTAGGAAAAAAAGTCTGGAGAAAAAAAGTCCGAGGAAAAAAAGTCCGAAAAAAAAGTCCGGGAAAAAAAGTCCGAATAAACGGAAAAAAAGTCCCAGAAAAAATGATTTAAAAATAATATTATTTATTAAATTAGTATACATAATTATTAATTATGCATTAATTATCATCATAATTTTAAAAATACTTATATATTAAATTATTATATTAAAAAATTGAAATAATTGTATAAATGTAATTAAATTGTTTGAGAAAAATTAACAAAAACATATTTTATTATTTATCATTATTTTAAATTTTTACGGTGTTTTCTTTTGGCATGGATTTCAGAGCTCCTTTTGGCAAATTATTGACTACTTCCGCAAAAACTTGAGAAGGTGTATTTGTTGACATTATAAATCGGTTTTTCATTTCTTCTTTTGCTTTTTCGACGATTCCGATGTGTAGATCACCAGCATGTGAATGTTCTACATCTAAGCTTGGATTCTTTAAATCTGCATATATAAATATATTTTTTACATATATAAATTAATGACAAAACGTAAATATATTATAAATATACATGTATTTACCTCTGTTGGTAATTAATACACCAGGACATTTTTTCAAAGACTTCTGGGAACATTTCCATCTTATACATTTTTTTAGTTTATGCTGGATTGTATATGTAAATCCACCACAAACAATTTTTTTCCATTTTTTATTAATTTTACACTATCCATTATGATGATTATTATAAAATTATGTACTACACTATTACTGTTAACACTGCTATGACCTAGGACACACAGTTGACTATACTAGTGATATAATATTATATCTTAGGTAGGTATATTCTAGATAAGTTGTAGTAATGTTACTCGTTAGTTTTATACCCCTGGACCCTAACTCAAATATCATTGTGTAAACCTGTCTCCATATAGTAGACATACAGAGCGATTAAAACATATTATTTGAAAAAAAATAAGCTTAATAAAATATTTTTGTTTAATATTTTTCTAGGAACTAATTTTATTTTAATTTAATAACTAATTTATATTTTAATAATTTTTTCTCGGACTTTTTTTCCGTTTATTCGGACTTTTTTTCCCGGACTTTTTTTCCTCGGACTTTTTTCCGACTTTTTTCCCCGGACTTTTTTTCCGTTTACCGTACAGCACGACGGTAGACGAAAAAATTAATGACAAATTGGCAAATAATACCATAATGGCATAATAGTAAAATCAATGGTATTATTAATGGCCGATTTCACCAACACAGTTAATCACGTTTAACTTCGATTACGCTTAATCGGCTGATAACAGATATTTAACCGGGCAAATTCGGCCGATTAAACTCCGGTTAACTTTAATCGTGATTAACTGTGTTGGTGAAATCGGCCCTAAGAGGATGTCACATCCACATGTGTTGTCTCCGTCTTATAAATGTACAACATAGCAAAAACTGTTTTGCGCGGGACAACTTTTATTGCACCATATTTGTTGTAGAAGTAGAACTACCAAATTTTCACAACACCTAACCTAACCTAACTTAACCTAACCGTGCAACAGGGTCCTCTTTTTTTTAATAGCAATATCCAATCATTTTTTATAAGAAAATTAAAAAAAAAAACAAAAAAACAAAATGTTGAGAAGCAAATAACTTTTATTGTGTTTATGTTACCTAAAATATGGGCACACTGTTGCATATATAATTTTCTATCCTATAGGTTCACAAATTTTGGAGCCACTACTACAAACACAGTAAGATAAAAGTTGTCCCGCGCAAAACAGTTTTTGCTATGTTGTACATTTGTAAGACGGAGACAACACATGCGGGTGTGACATCCTCTTAATAATGAAATTTATAATTCTCTAAACTTATAAACTGTAAACTAGATTAATAAATACTACATACGTTCACAATAGTTTCATTGTTTTTGTATTTTCGATGTGGCCTGCGAGTATTTTTACAATCTAAATGAACCCGTAAAATTCAAATAATTTCTAAATATCCCTGATAAATTGTAGATAAGTCTCTGTGCCGCCGAATCTAATCAATTTAATTTCAATTATGCCGTTTATATAAAATAACCATTTATTTTATAATAAAATAAAAATAGTGTACTGATATACTATAAAATAAATGATAATACCAATTTCCAATATATAATTACCATCCTTTTTTTCATTTCAAAATTTTCCATTTTGAAAATGTAGGTAATACAAAATTCCTCGTAAGTTTTAGATGCTGAGTGGAGTGAGGGATCTAGCGTGGTTTTACAATGGTGTTTTTTTTTTTTTGTAATATCTTATCTTTTGGCAAATTGGATCAAGATGGTACTTTATAGAGGTAGTTTTTCGAATTTCTCAATAGTTCTTTAATGCCACAGGAAAAACCACTGCCAAATTACAAGAAACTGATAAAAATGGGATTTTAATTTCTAACGTTTTGTTTATACCATAGAAACGATTAAAAATAAAAATAACGATTTTAGTTATTTTGTTGTAATTTATAATATTAATTCAACTTACAGACTATAATAAAATATAAAATATCGTTTGAAAAATATATCAATAACAATATATCATTGAATTCAAATTTAATACAATCCATTATACATTGACCCACTTGTAACCTACTGTACAGCAGAGCGACATCCACTTACCTGCTTTTTTATTTGTATAATAAAAATAAAAGTCAAATCCAAATACCAAATAATTTTTTATTAGTCCAATGTCTGAAAAAATTTTGACAAAATTCATCAAAATCACGAAAGATTGCAAATTATTTTGAAGATTTATTTTCATATCTAAGATTTAAAATGTAATACGAGATTCCTCACTAGTTTTCTACCCATAATTTTAAAAAGAAACTAACGAAAAGTTATATTAATCTTGTATGAGTCTTGACTCTTGAGTACTAGAAATTCAAATGCTTACTACATTATTATATTATTCACCAGTAAATTGACGATTCTCATCGAATAATTTTCTTATTTTGCAGTTATTCAAAAAGATTTACCGTCGATACTTGACATTTTCAACAAATTTGTATTTTATCATTTCCTATGTACATGATTAACATATGTAAAAGAAATATAAAAGAATATAAGGATATATAGGTTATAGGTATAATAAGAGTACTCTTATTAAATTATAAGAAGTAATAATTGTATTTATGTTCACATTTCAATGTTATAAGGGTAGGTACCTATATAACATAATCATGGCCGATAAGATAACTTTCTTTTTATAATTATTAAAAATTACAAAATTGAAATAGTGGTAATAAAATAGTTTTTTTTTAAAACAATAACTTATTTGGGTTTACTTTGTATATCTAAATGAATATAATATATTATAAAATACATGTTAAATGTTTCTAATTTTTATTGTAATTTTACAATATTTTTTTTTATGAATAATCCAAACATCTATTCTTAAGTCTACTTAATTTCATGTAAAATGTATACAGAGATACATTTATGGTATAATTTAATTTATATTACAAGTTCATACAAGTGGTATAAAAATGTGTTTTCTGCAAACTGAAAAATGATAATTTATATAACCTAATACTCCACTTCAACCTCCTACTTTTTTCAAATCTTAGCTACTAGTTCTTATACTCAATTGTTTGACACTTCTATTTCAATTCCTACCGTTTTTTCAATGGTGATAGTGGTGTAACTACTCACTATTTCCGTTTGAGTAGTGATAATGTCAAATTCAGATTCATATATTGTGACCTTGGCAATATTTTTGGAATATTGATAGGACTTTATAAGAATACCAGAATACATTACAGTTATAGAATCTACCCTTTGCATGATTTCTTGATAAAATGCAAGTTTGCTGTTATCGCCACTTTGACTAATAAACTCTTTTGTTTGAACAATTTGTTCTTTGAAACAGTCGGTGGTTTGTTTATACACAGTTATAGTTTTTTCTAAATAGCTTAATAAAAATGTTTTATAGGGATCATCCGGTGTTTGTTGAAGTGCCGTTACAATCGTTTCGTATATTTTATTAAATTGTGTTACACTATTTGTTAGGAATAAATCAGCATCGTTTTCCGAGTTATATATTTCTTCGCAATTTACTTCAAAATATTGATAAAATTTTTTGACAAATTCAGTGTATTCAACAGTTTGAACCACATATACGTATTCTTCAGATGTTAATGAATACATAGTTGTTCTCTTAAATGGTATATCCATCGACGTAGATAGCATATTTGATTTTTCCTTTGTATCTCTAAATATTACCACTAATGCGGTGAAATATTCTTGAGAACAAAGAGTTGTCACTTCAGTTATATATTTTATTGAATCTGAAACTACGGTATCCAAATAATTTGTATTATATTCAGATATTTGCTTACAAATTTCCAATGATTGTACTACTACTTTCGTGTATTGGGTTTCTTGTGTGGTTTGAACATAAGTTAAACTTGATGTTATTTTATTTTGAAATGAATTTTTTAGTAATTGTACAGTTTTTGTTACTTGTGTACCAGATTTTATATACGAATATTTGTAGTCAATACTATTTTGGTTACCCGTAGGCGGTGTTCCGCTGGTAGAGGGTGTTCCGCTGGTAGATGGATAATTACCTGAAGGTGGTGCTCCGCTAGTAGACGGTGTTCCGCTGGTAGGGGGTGCTCCGCTAGTAGACGGTGTTTACGCTGGTAGGGGGTGCTCCGCTGGTAGGGGTGCTCCGCTAGTAGACGGTGTTTGCTGGTAGGGGTGTTCCGCTGGTAGATGGTGTTCCGCTGGTAGGGGGTGCTCCGCTGGTAGGCGGTGTTCCGCTGGTAGAGGGTGTTCCGCTGGTAGATGGATAATTACCTGTAGGTGGTGCTCCGCTAGGAGACGGTGTTCCGCTGGTAGGGGGTGTTCCGCTGGTAGGGGTGTCGCTGGTAGGCGGTGTTCCGCTGGTAGGCGGTGTTCCGCTGGTAGAGGGTGTTCCGCTGGTAGATGGATAATTACCTGTAGGTGGTGCTCCGCTAGGAGACGGTGTTCCGCTAGTAGACGGTGTTCCGCTAGTAGACGGTGTTCCGCTGGTAGGTGGTGTTCCAGCGGTGGGTGGTGTTCCGCTGGCAGGTGGCGTTTTCGGTGAGTCAGGTTTGAATACTATTGGTTTAGTGTTTTTATTACAATTTGTATCTACAAATACATCAAGAGTATTATACGTTTCAGTTATCTGTAAAGTATTTACACATAGCACTCCAACAACATCACATGAAATTACGTCCATAATTTGTTGAACTTCATTAGATTGAGTACTTTGGTCTGTGGTCATTAAAACATATGTATAAGTGGCACTATTTACAATATACATTTTGTTAATAGTAGCTGAATATTTGGAAAATAGGATTGAATTTTGAAATTCTATAGTTGTGACTCTATCAATTATCCAAGAGTCCACATTTTTTTTATCATACTGTGTTGTTTTTATTCGTATGTATACATAATTTACTTGACAAATAAATGTTTGAAAAACTAATTTATTTATCACTAATGAGTACATATCCTGTGGTATACACATTTCTGATGATGGATATGAACAGTCTTTTTGCTCAATAAGACGCATATCATATTGAACAGCATTAGCATTACTCCACATAATATTCTCATTATATGTTTCGATTATATCCACTTTATATTGATTGAAATCGGTTTTAATCATACTTCTATCAGGATTAAAGTTCAAAGCTCGTTGATAATGCACCTCGGTGGATTTGACAACTGTCAAAAGCATTTTATTCACAGAAATATATAATGCTATCATGATTTTTTTGTATTCTTCAGAATTGGCACCAAAACTAGATTCTGCGTCTGTTTGTGTTGTTTTTATAAACAATACTATGTTTTGACTCATGTACTCAAAGTTTGCTCGAACTAAATTCACTTGTTCCCATATTGTAACTCGCATTGCTAAATCACTTTTTGAATGTACTACAGATTTTAAATAAATAGTAGTTAGTGAAGCCTTATAAATTGAATACATTTGTGTGACTGTCTGAGATAATAGTGCCGATGCGTCATTATCAGTTTTTCCAAAGAACTTTGATAAATCGTCAGTTTTGTATATGTCCTGCAAAAAAGTGTACGAGAATTGTAGATACTTATTAAATAATCTAAATGAATAAAGCAAATGAGTTAAAAGAGGAAAAATAATATTTACTAACCAGTAGTGATTTATCAGTTTTATCAGTATTTGCAGATCCATCACATAAATTTATCCCACTACCAAACAAAAACGCTTCTCTAATTGATGCGTACACATTCGTTTTAGAAACTATACTTTCTCTTGCGTCGTAATACTGTTTCACCTGAGTAGCCCATTGATTCGCATCAATAGTATCTGTACTAGTCGTACCACTAGTATACTGTGTTTTTATCGTCGTAACATCATTCATAAAGTTAATGTAAGATGATTCACATCGTCTTGCAGTTAGAATTGATTGCGCTTGTTGTACTTCTGTTACTTCACTGAGCTTTGTTTCTGATTTTTCAACAGTTACTTCTTTTTTTTGGTAATAGTTAACTGTCATTGATACCACAGCATTAATTTTTTCTTGCGATTCTTTTTCAGCATCAGTTTGTTGCAACCCGTTTATCATACTATCTATATTTCCGAACCCATCTTTAAATGCCGTTATCAAATTTGTTAAAAGATCATTTGAAGAGCTGTCAATTTCAGAAAATCCACTTTTTATGTAATGATTTGATGATAGCATACATTCAACCGAAGTTACATATGATGTTTGAACTGATAATGTATAATGTGAAACATATTCCCCAGCATTTGGTACTCCCAAATTATCATAACACTCTGGATCTAAAGTCTTACTGTCCGATGAATCATCACACTAAAAAAAATTAAATAAACTTATTATATTACTCAGTTCATTGGAGTTAAATTTTATTTTATAATTATTTTAAACAATTATCAATAGTTTTAAATTGTAAATCTTTACATATTGTTATATAGGTACTATGTAATAAATATTTTATTACATCATAATAATAGACCAGTATTTGTTTCCACGGATTTGATAAAAAAAAAAAGCAAATCCAGGCATGGTACCAGGTGTTTAGAAGGATAGATAATAGGCACTTATATTCATTTATTAATACATTTGAATACGGCTGTACATTTATTTGAAAAGAAAATAATTCTCAGTACAGCTTTACTGTTTTAGTTACTATTTACTATATTACTAGATACTAAATATAATACATAATTTTTAGATATAATATACTATAATGTATATACCATATTACCTACTCCTGTGAAATGTGAATACAATAATTCTGTATCTTTAAAAAAAGACTTAATTTCAAACTGTAAATATTTCTAGTATAAAATTACCTAACACAATTAATTATATATAGAAATGAAACATTGGTAACTAAAAACAAAAATTAGGAAACTTATAGAATTCAATACAGATGTGATTGAAGGGCACGTGCCCAGCCTCTATTAATTCTATCGACAATTTTTTTATGGAACAACGAGTATCATATAAATGAAAAATTAAATTAATAACATTAATTCTACCAACTATTAATTATTATTTATTATAATCATTATTGTTTAAAAATAATATTATGCGATATGTAGGTATGTATTATTAATCAAAATTAAAATAATACAATTTATGTGTGCCCCACCACCTATATCAAAATCATTCAGACAAATATTATACACTTATACCTACGTAATATCATCTTTCTTACCTACATAATGGTTTAAACATTTTATTTTTATTTGGCATTTAAATAACTTACAATGGTCAATGACACATCTAACTGTAATCTTTTTTTTTTAGATTACTAGGTGCATACGTAAGTCCAATAGATATACTAAAAAATATAATATTGAATACTACCTTCCTACAATTTTTATAATTTATGATATTAAAATAATTAACTAATATTTATTATATGAATACCTAGTTTTGAAAATGCCTTTAGTGTTATAATAGATACTGACGTATTCACGCATTCAAAACACCAAATGTTCCTACATTTTACTGGAGTATGTATTCCTTAGTCAAACTCAGCTACAAAATAATTCATTAAACTAAAATATGGTTTGATTTTATAAAACTCTGTATTATTTAATAATAGATAATATTATATATAGGTACTAAATTAATATAAATTTATAATTTATAAATATGTTATCAATCGACTATCTTAAGTAAAATGTTCAATCATTTGATTTTAAAGTTAAATACACGAATGTCACGTACTCAGGAAATCTTAATTAATAAGAGTCTAATACACTATAAAATAATAAAATATCTCACTTGAGTAGCTCCTATAAATATAAACAAGCAGAGTAACTGCATTTTGCAGTATATTTTTCGACTAAAAAACTTGATCAACTGAAGTAAAAAAAATATTTTATTGCATGAAACGTTTATACGATGTATTGGTTGGATGAACAAACGTAACGCTTAAGTAATCAAAAGTATATATTTCTCACAATTCATTATAATTTTAATCTACCACCTAATTAAACATAGAATAAACGAAAATGTAATATGTACAAATTATATTAAGTAAATACAATGAAGCAGCTACATTTTCATATTAATTACGTGTTGGCTGACAAAATAAAAAATCTAAACCCAATAATATGATTGTAAATACTATTTATATTAATTCAAAATGTATTCGAATAAAATATTCATGAAATCCAACACACATAAATAATAAATGTTGATACAATTTCAACTGAATTTCCTAATATTGACAAAGATGCAATTTTAATACCATTAAATATTATATCTGATTAATTGATTATAGTTCTCATTTAAGACAATCATAATATGTTATTAAGTATCTAATCACCTACATAATACAAGAATTATAAAAGAAGTATTAAATATATTTCTTAAATTATTGTTTGCAGAGTAACTTTTTACTGGTTAAAATCAATGCATGCGATAGTTTTCTGTACACTACCTTTGTAATGGGCATATAGATTTCGATTGACTAAATATGTTCAGGTATAAATTAAGAAATAGTATTACTCCAACAAATAAATACGGATACCTATGTGTTATTAACGACATGCATTATAAAAAACCGTTTTGTTCCAAAATATTTTGACTCATTTTGAGCTAATTATGGACATTTGATATTTTCATGAATTTTAGATTCTGAGTGGAACGACCAATGTATTGATTTTACAATGATGTGTGTTTTTTTTTTTTTATTTATTTTTGTGTCTGTGTACACGATAAGTAGTCGAAATAATGCTTCGATTTTCAACTTCTGTATCTGGTTCGATTGCGAAAAGTGAATCTAGTTGGTGCATTCAGGAGGTCAAATTTTAAAATTCCTAATAGTTTTCACAAGCGCCGGGATTAAACGCATACAAATTAAGGAATAACAGGAATTATTACGCAAAATCTGTTTTCCAAAAAATCGATTTTGGTTTTTGGTGTAACTCTAAAACAAATGAACGTATATATTATTTGTTGGTTTCAAAAGCTTGACAATTTAATAGAAGGCTCCTAGTATATTGTTTCAAAGGCAGATGAAAAATATCAAAAATCCTTGGTCACAATTTTTTTTTATAAGCATTTAAAGTTCAAAAATTGACAAAATATGGAAAAATCTCTAAAATGAGCAAATTATTTTGAGTTAAGAATTCGTTAAAATTTTTCTATTTAAATCTAAGATTTTAAAATGTAGTACAAGATTCCTTATAAGATTATCTACCTTTAGGTTACAGCCCACCTAACAAAACTAATTATTTAAAATAACCCATAGGGGGGTTTATCTAAATAAATAAGGGTTATTTTTTGTGGTGGCTAAATCATAGGCAGGGGGGTTAAGCTCCCTACCCCCTCCCCTTAATTGTATTACTTGAGTGACTCCTCAAATCAAAATTCCTGTCAAAGGTCACTAAGATGAAACTATACAACAATTTTTTACGATTGTCTAAAACTGAGATGTTGACAAAATTCAACAAACTCACAAAAAGTGAAATTTTGAGTTAGAAATTCATAAACATTTTTCAAATGTATGAATGTTTATTTAAATTTCGATACATAATACATTTTCAAAATATTAAGACTCATTTTGAGTTATTTATAGACATTTTCAATTTTCATTTTTTTTTTAGTTTTTATGCTATAAATGTCAATAAAATGTTATTAGTTGGGTGTAAAAGCCTGAAAATTGAATACAAGGTTCTTTATAAATTGTTATAATAGCATTTGATAAATATTAAAGATCCATAAGCTAGATTTCAAGATTTGTTTTATAAGTATTTAAAGTTTTGACAACATTTATCAAAATCTCGAAAATTATCAATTATTATTGTAATTAAAAGATTATAAAATTTTCAATTCTTATAGCAAAGGATTAAAAATGTAAGCCAAAGTTTATCATAAATGATTCATATTGTAACCAAAAAATCTATGAACACAGTTTTTGTTTACAGACATTTTAAATTTAAGTTTGGACGAAATTACATATTAAAACTAAGAATAACGATATTAGTTATTTTGTTGTAATTTAAAAATTTTATTCGTGGGTGTATGAAACTTTTAGAGTATTCAGTAAATTATAATATTTTATACACACAATGACATTTTCGAATGTAATTTTATTTGCAAAAATTAATTTAACTTACTCTAGTAGTAATGCCTAACACTAAAATTAATTACTTTAATCAGAATAATATCATAAAATATTCCTACATAATAACATGATATAGACTAATTAGGCTGACAGAACGTCTTCGCTCAGAATCGTTTTTCTTATCCAATTATTTTATATCATTGAATTCAAATTTAACACCAACCATTATAGTGTTCCACTTGAAACCTATACTGTACAAGTACAACACAGCGATACTCATTTACCCGTTTCTTTTTAAATTTTTTTTTAGATTCTGAGTGGAACGATTGAACGTACTATTTTACAATGATGTGTGGTTTTTTTTTTTTAATTTTTTTTTTTTTGTGTTTGTAATGTGTACACATTATTAGTCAAAATAATGCTTCGATTTTCTTCAACAGTATCTTGTTCGATGGGAAAGTGAATCTAGTTGGTGCATTCGGGAGGTCAAATTTTAAAATTCCCAATAGTTTTCACAAGTGCCGGGAAAAACAGTGGCGGTTTTACGGGGGGGCGATAGGTGGACCGCCCCCCCCCTTGGGCCGAGTAAAAACTAAAAATATAAATGAGCAAACAGTTTACTAAAAATCGTTTTGGCGATATTTTTATTTTTTAATTTTTGTCAAAATGTTTACTGTTTACAAAAATGTTTACTCCTATTGAAGTATAGAGGGCGCTCGTTCTTTATTGGTTTACTCGCATGTACCGTGATATCACAGAACAATGGTGATATGCCGTATCAGGAGGTATCAGTAAACAGTCAACAGACCGTTAACTTTGCTCTCGTTACCTTTGCGGCTTTGCGAAAACACGAATATGGTTTTGTCGTTCATCATTAATCATTATTAGATTAGGTTAATAACAGTTTTTGATTTCACAACGTTCACGTTTTTATAATATTGTTTTTGAAGTTTTAACATCAGTTTTTTTGTAAAAATGTCGAAACATAAAATAACGTCTTATTTTGAAACAAATTCAGCAAAAAAATGTAGAACGAGTAACACTGATGGTAACGCAAAAAAAACTATGATTGAAATGCAGACACATATGCCTGATACACAAATTCCAACGTCCACGTCTTCAATTGAAGAACTGTCATCAAGCAATCAAGTTAGTTTAGTTGATAGTACGGATATAGGAAATTTTATAAATGAAACTGCAGATGATTTTACTAAATCATTAATAGTTAAAAGAAGTAACATCCCTGCATCAAATTTTATTTTTCCTTTTTCAACCCACATAAAAAAAGGGAAAGCTGAAAAACGGTATTTGCGTGTCAATCATTTTGAGAAATACTCGTGGTTAGAATATTCAAATATTAAACATGGTTTGTTTTGTAAAACTTGTGTATTGTTTCTGACTTCAAGTCTTGGTGGTATGCATAAGACACAACCCTTAAAAACCTTAGTAACTGAGCCCCTAAAAAAATATGCCAAATTGCTAGGTAAAGATGGAGCTTTGGATGTACACAATAATACTATTTATCATAAGAATAAGTTTGACTGTTAATTAAGTTTGAATAAAAAATAATTTTTGTTTTAATTTTTTTATTGATACCTATATCTTTATGTTATGCCGTTGTAGTATAAAGTTTATAATTTATATAATTTATAATTACATCTCATGTACCAAACAATAGAAAAAAAAAAATTTGATATGAATGCAAATTGTAAGTATAATGTAGGTATATGCAAAATATATTCGCTGCCCCCCCCCCCCCCTTGTGGCTTCTCAAGAACCGCCCCTGGGGAAAAACAACATAAAAATTAAGGAAAAACGGGAATTTTTACGAAAAATTGATTTCTTACAAAATCAATTTTGGTTTTTGGTGTAACTCTAAAACTATTGAACACATGAAATTTTCACTGGTCGTTTATATTTGCGTTTTCTATACACGATAAAATTTTCGAAATATTTTGATTTGTTTTGAACTGTTTAGAAACATTTTCTGTTTCCAATTTTATTAGTTTTTTTTCCTATGAATGTCAATAAAAATTTTCCTTTTTAAATCTAAGATTTGTATGAGCGTTTGAAATTCATATTTTTACAATATTGGATATTCACTCAAATTCTTATTTAGCAGTTTTGTTATTTAATTTTTATTCAAAAACATCCTAAGTTCCAAAAATTCCTAACACATTTTTTCAAAGGCAGATGAAAAATATAAAAAGTCCTTGGTCACAGTTTTTTTTTATAAGCATTTTAATTTCAAAAATTGACAAAATATGGAAAAATCACTAAAATTAGCAAATTATTTTGAGTTAAGAATTCGTTAAAATTTTTCTTTTTAAATCTAAGATTTTAAAATGTAGTACAAGATTCCTTATAAGATTATCTACCTTTATCAAAAAAAAAAAATGTCAAATTAAATGTTTATGAGTGTTTGAAATTCAAATTTTTTCAACATTTTATATTCACTCGATTTCTCTTGTAGCTATTTCCTTATTTTGTTGTAATTCAAAAACAAATAACTGTGGATACATGAAAATTTCACTGAATGTTTACATTAGCATTTAATATACACCATATAATTTTGACTCTTATTGAGCTGTTTACGGACATTTTCAGTTTTCAATTTTTTTAGTTTTTTTTTCTATAAATATCAATCAAGTTTTATCTGTTGGGCCAAAAACTTAAACAAATTAATACAAGGCTCCTGATATATTTTTACAATAGCAGTTAAAAAATATTAAAAATACATAAGCACAATTTT